CCTGCCGGACTATGAACGTTCAAGAACGTGGACCGACTAGATATACCACCATATATTATATACACTTATCATTGTGTTCTTAATTAGCTATTTGGATTTGTTCCCTAATGTGTAATGTTGCCTTCATCACGTTTTCTGTTTTGTGTTTGATTATTTTATTGAAATAAATGAAGACTATCATCTGCCTGTCACGTTATAAATCATATTAATATCGTTAAACACTTAGTAGCAGTTCCCCACGAATTACATGTCTCCATCATTGACTAAAAATTATATAATTGTTTTCAAGAATACTTTCTCTATATCAATAAATTGTTACTCTTTACATACAAAACATTATACCAAACAAAAGACATATATACTTGATTTCATAGAGCAACTATTTCTCAACGGAAAAATATATAAGCTATATATAATGAAAGTGAAACCAATACATCTTGTTTAGTTTAGCTTAAATTATTTTCAGTTGTTTTTAATATTTATCCTTCCCTACCATTGTTGTGAATTTGTGATTTTCATTATGCAAAGGTTTTTATATGAATTAACATTTTTTATTAGAATTTTTTTTTTTTAAGTATTTGGGTCTGTCCATTAAAAATTATTTTTAATGTTAATTGTGTTTAAACTAATAAGATTTACATTTAGCAAGACTCAAAGTTGCTGTGTACATTTATATTCTCCACTAACCCAACAAGAAGGTCATCCACTTCCCTTGTATATATTTCTTTGTTCTTGCACATAAAGAAATCAAACTGTTCAACTGCCCTATATATCTTTAATATAAAACAAACAAATAATATTATCATAAGTAAATAAAATAAACATTAATAAGATCAAAGGGTCAAATTGTGCCAAACCTACAACTTTCATGACCTCTACCTCCCTTACTATATAGATATCACATTTGAGAGAATTGGGAAAACAAGAGTCTAAATAGCTTCTCACATCTTTCTTTCTACAAGATCAAACTATTAGCTCCTCTCTAATTAAGAAAAATTTAATGGAATACTCAGCACTAAGCAACTGCGTGAGGCGAACAATATTCTCTAATCAAATACAAGAGAGGCCAGAAGAGAGTAGTTGGACAATGTACTTTGAAACCGAAGATGGATTAGGTCATTACGACGAATCTTCTATGATCTCAGACGCTGCATCTCCTCTAGTGTCTGTGGAAGAAGACACTGCGTCATCTCCTTCTAACAGAACCAAGGTTAGTCCATGGAGATGCATATAAGCACACATATACATAGGCATAAATGGCAGTGCACATATATGTATAAAGTTTCATATGTTTTAGCAATGCTTGTGTTTTTAGGTTTACAGTGAAATGGAGGACAATACGATTGAAGAAAAAACTATGATCAATACTAAAACTGAGGTTAGAAACTTTCAACCATCGTCATGTTTTGATGTATTCGTTCTATAAAATATAAAATTTTCAGACGACTAACAGAAAGTATTCTTATTTATGGGCTTTTTATAGGTGAAAGGATTGAATAAAAAGGGTATAATGAATGAAGAATATTGCGCAGAATTGAAGAAGAGAGGGCTTTGCTTAGTTCCTCTGTCGATGTTGTCTAACTATATTGGTTGATAAATTGATTGTTTTTTCAATCATAATTCTTTTGTGATTATTTTTAATTTGTTTTCATTCTTTTCTGTAAAATCTATAGAAAGGACTAGTAAATGTAGTGAAAATCAAATCAATGGTGGATTACGCATTGTACGTATAAAATGCACAAGCAAGATTGCAAGAGTGCAGGATTTTTAAATCATTTCCAAACATGTACTTTAATATAAAGTTAACATGTTTCCATGTGTGTTACAACATTGGTACAAGTATGTATGTATATTTTCGGAGCGATTGAATTGTCCCGATTTTAACATTTTTCTTCCGATTCAATTTTAGTGACCGAGAGTCGTCATATTACAGAATAATTATATTTCTATAACAAAAAAAAATAGCATTTCATAAACACAAATATATAAATTTTTAAGAAATATTCCAAAATACAGGAAAGTGCCACAAATTAGTTTTTGACTTTTGAGAATTCTTCCTAAACGGTTTCATACAACTGAATTAGATGGCTTGTTAAAATTTTAGGATATTATTTTAAAATATTGTGGTATTTTTTAGTAAATAGCAAAAAAAATACAGTAAGAAAAAAAGATGTGGTATTTTTAAGAATCTTTTAAAGAAAGGTATTAGTATTAGTCTTTTTCCTTAGATGTTGTTAATTTAAAATTTTTAATTTAGATCTTGTTAAGAAAAAAAATCAGTGAATGTAATAAATCAAGTAAGTTTAGGTAGAAGACAATACAAATATTTTAGCCGCCTGAAAAATAAAATTGGAGACTTGTTAGGTCAACAGTTACGACAACTTTCATAGCGTCGAAGTTGTGTCTATGTTAGTTTGTTTCTTATGTGATTTGGTTAGTTACAAATCGAACACCTCTGTGATTTGTTCATCTTTTCCCTTTGTACAATGAGTTTTATTCATAAATTAGTAGACATCTAAATTAGAAGATGGTCTAGATCTAGGAAGATGATGAGGCTAATTCGTTTTCTTTACTTTGTGAATTTTTTTTTGCGTTATATATAGTTGTTTGTAAATTGTTACAAGATACAAAAGAAGGCAAAATTTTAGGAGTGTTGATCGAATAAATAATTTATTCAAGATAATTTTATATTTTAAATGGGATTCATGCAATAAAGACGATGAAGCAAATTTGACGATATATTATTTTCTACACGCTATTGGATTGTGTTATGTTTTAATTAATATCTAGTAGTGTATTTCTATTTTTTTCACAATCTTTTGATTGTTGATTCGTTAGACCATTCTTAACCGTTAAGGATGCTCTAATCGATAATTGATGTACGTATAATTGTTTCACCAATCTTGCTTGCAATCATTTCAGACAAGTAGTAAGTATTGTTTACCTTTATTGTTTTATGGGAAATTGGGTTGAGTAACCAAAAAAATCTATAATCAAAAATTTAATCATTTAACTTAAATTAGATATAATTAGATCACATATGTTATTTTTTGTTAGATTTTTAATTATTAAAAAAATTGGCTAGTAAGCAAATTAACACTTGTTTTATTTTATGAGTTTTACCAAAAAGGCCAAAACCAAATTTCTTTCTTGACAACATCAGATTCATTGAAATTAAAAGCTGCACATTTTAAAACGCAAAGGTTTCCTTCCTTAACGGGGAATCCGGAATCACGACGGCATTAGAGAAGAGAGAGAACGCTCACCA